CCAAACCGTACCTGTTTGGGGAAATACAAAAGCGCAAAGCATGAGCCGCAAGCAAAGCCAGGCCACCACACACACCCGTGCTGACGTCCTTTCAGTATCGCTTTCTTATACCCGCCATGGGCATCACGGAACGCCTCTCCGTCTACCGTCACGTAGCCCTCCTGATCCATGCCCACCCATTTGGCAGCTTGCGGCGCAAGAGTGGACTTCCCACAAGCACTGGGGCCTATAAGCCACATGGCGGAGGGCTTCTGAGAAGGCTTGGCATCAAAATAGCCACTGTTTGCATAGGCTTCTTTTAGCTCCTCCTCATTGAAGGGCTTCCCCAGCTCACGGTCTAAGCTTTCGCCCATATCGAAGCCGATGAGCTCGCAAATATCGGCAGTAGCATCTCCAGAGACTACATCATCACTGATAGAATCATCGGCTTCAGAAGTGTCAATGGTCCTTGGAAAATAATGAGGCAAGGTGTCCTCCTCCGGAACCTGGCACTCCACAGCATCAAGGCTCGCAGCGCCAGCTGATCGCTTGCCCATGCCCGTGCCCCTTCTTCGAAAGCAAAGACCGGAGACGCCGAGGACGGTACCCTGCACAAGGCCAAGGCTCCTCCGCGGAGGAGCAGGAGGTTGCCGGGTGCTCGGAGGGTGGGAAGCTCCAGGTCCCAGAGGACCTAGAACGCAAGAACTGTAAGACCTCTGTGTGACGAGCATCACTTCAAGCAAGGGCGTTCTTTGCACACAAACGCACTGGGGTTCGCGAGGCCAGGCTTGTGCCCGACACAAAGTGTACAGGACTATGACTATGGTCAAGCTGGTGGCTGAAGTGCAGATATGGCATCGGTCACAAGTTGTGTGCAGGTAGCCCCAAGAAGACCAAGAAGAGACCTGTGCTAGGTTTAGTGGTCATGCGCTGTCAAGTCGATTGCAGACGAACCTACGGGCAGAGCAGAAACTCTGTCATTTTGCTCCATATGCTTTTAGCACCGCCGCTTCTTTGCACACATGGCTTCTCGGCGTGCCTGCACAAGCCAAGCAGAGATGCAGAAAATAGAAAATACTATACCGGCGGAGAATGAAAGCATCAGCCATTCTCGTAACTGAGCCACCCGAGTGCAGGAAACGAGAAGGTGAGACCGTAACGGAAGGACAAGCGGAGTCAGCTTCAGAACTCTTTGTAAGCTCCACACTAAAGAAGCTCCTAGGTACGTTCTGTGCCGATTCTGCTCTGTTGTACGAGAACCTAGTCAGGCTACTTTTATATACTTTTATGATCTTTTATGTTCCGTAATTAATGTACATCTGTTTTCTGTAATATGCCATAATTTACTCTAATATGTTCGACAGCCCCAGCCACCCAGGCAGAGTGGGTTAGGCGGCTGAATAACACAGCAGGACTCGCACGCCAGCAGCCGTTTGAAAGGGTACCCCAAACTTCGAAAACCTGCCAGTTTCCGATACTCCGCCTGCTCATCGCGACCGCGACCGGCTCCTCGCTGGAGCCCTCTGAGGCCTCTCGGACCATCGGTGTGAAAACCATGCCCATAGCCAAAGCACTCAATACGCAACGCAAAAGGAGACCGCTCTCCATCATTTCGTGGAGCCCTATCTGAGTTGGGGAACCTTCCATCATTTAGATTCCTAGTTTTTAAACACTGAAACCCCGGATCGTTGTACCTCAGTCGGGACGCCGGCCTACAACAGAATGGCGGAAAAAACAAAATACACCGTTCAAACTGCATCCCGGCTGAATCTCCCGTCAAATTTACTGCTTGGGCCATGTTATGGATTTTTTGCCTGATACATTATGATGGATAAAAATAGCAACATTTTCGGCTCCCGCATGCCAGCTCCCATTAATGGTAAGAAAAGTTATACAAGTAATACTAGCGGCAATAGTATCAGTAATAATATTGGTATGGGTTTTTGCCTGCTACATTATGATGGTTTTGGCTTAATCCGAGGGACTGATTAATAAAATGGCTCACATCTAAAGAAATGTTTTCGGGTCCGGAATGGGTCGGAAGAGGAGTTTCAATTGCGGGTGGATTTCGTGTCGGGAAAAGGTACCACATTTAAAAAAAAATGGAGGTCTAAGGTTTCAGGGGTTCAAAGTTTCACTTTCGTTGGCATGCTTCTCTAATACGAAAGCAACGCTTCTCTGGGACCCGGCTCTGCCAGCAGCAGAGGCTGCCCTCCGAGCCCAAGCTTTCCTAAACCCTATCTTAAAACAACGGGCCCCGGGTCCTGCGAAGTCTCTCCAGAGCCGCCTTTTGCTTGTCCATCTTCGCTGCAGCGGCGCTTCCTGCGCGCGCCGCACCTGCAGGGGTTTAGGGCCTTCTATAGACCCCTTGTAGCCAGTTTAAAGGAGCCCTATTCAAGGAACCCTCATCGAAATCTCAAGGCCTTACCCGAGATTATACGATTCAAGGGGGTTTAGGGCCAGGGCTTTAGGCCTTGGAAGTGGGACTCGCTCCTGGCGAGGCGGTTCACGGGTTCAGGTTTTCAGCATTCATCAGGCTTTAGGGCTTCGGGGTTTGGGAGTTTAGAGCTTCGACTCTCGCACTCATTCTAGATGCGTCACGCTCTCGGCAAAATATGGAAATTATCGAAAAAAGTGCAAAGCCGAAAGCCAGACTAGATGCAGGTACGCGATCGAAGGGAACCCAGCTCAATACGGGACCGGGCTTCAACTCATGGAGTGTGGGTTCTTGGTAACGCTCGCCGGGCCAACTTGGCTTCACCGGCCTTTCCGCTTCTTTCGGCCGAACTCGTCGACTTCTTCGTCGTCCGAATTCCAATCCTTCTTCGGTTCCTGAGGCGGGTTTTGTGCGTGACCCTGTTGAGACAATTAACGGTACTTAACGGTGATCTTGCTTCTGGTACATACAGCTGATGCTTGTTGATGGTCTTGACATGCCAGCAGGCAGGTATGGTTTCCACATCATTTGCGCAATACGACTAATGCCACAAAATATGTTTTGTTACTGCAAATAAGAACCGTCCCTTGCCCATCCTATTGCATCCCCACAAGTACGGATACACATGCACTCACAAGACTTCCTGATCACCCTACATACACAGATGGAACCAGTATCTTTGCATGATGCGACGACCATACATTCGTACACACAACCTCGCTTATCGCATTACTCCGCCTCACCTGGATGATTGAAATCATCTTCCGAGTCTGACTTTTCGAACTTGCTGAATGCACATTCCAAGCAATGCGTCAGTGGCAGAGGTAGCAGCAAGCGATGCATGGGGCGCTTCATGACGTTCCTTTTCTGCGCATCAAATGCGCGAATATCAAAAGCACAACAACTTATCGAATGGAGTTGCTAGCTGTCCCGACAGATCCTGATACTTTGACCAGATCTAGCATCATTCTCAGAACCACTCACATCTACCCGGCTATTGACTTTCTGCACGAGTTCTCAGCGCTGTGCGATACGTACTTCGAGTCTAGCACACGAACACATGCGTACCGCTCGTGCTGATGCATTTGCATTAAGGCCGGCAGGTCTTCTATAGGAGGCTTCATACCAAGACTCGCCAAACCAATGAAAAAAAGCATCGGTGCTCTTGCGTTTAGGCCACTAGCTCTGAAGATTATCGGCGAGACCAAAGGAGAGCCTCATGCAGGCCGATCTGCATGTGCATGGACCGAAGCTCCGAAACCGTCCAGGCCATTTTTCTACCCTATACCATAATAACCTAAAAAAGGGGTGAGCTAAACCATAACCTAAGCATACCTAAACTCTATACATACACCGCGCAATACAAGCCCGAAGGCACCCCCCATTAAGCACAAGTCTTTCAAGCCGACCGAGGCGCATCCGGATCTGGACGATCGAAGTGGCCTCCTAAGCGACCTGCGCGTCCGCCTTCGCTCGACGCCGGTGGAACGTCGACCCAATTGGGATTCTCCTTCTTGCCTCAGCTAGGGTTCGGCTTCGCAGTGCATCCATCTTTCTTCCTGTGTTCTAAGGCCCTAAGGCACGTCGTGCGTGATTCAGCCCTGGTCTTTGCTTTCGCGGGCTGCAGCGCTGCGATGGAACATTGACAGTGCTGACGCAAATCTGCGAGGGAAGTCCTTGTAAAAACAAGGGCGGAAATCCGCAAGCTTCCTGAAAATCCGATGGTCTCCCCGAATAATGTTTCGGGGGCTGTACAGCTGACCGACAAGCTAAGACCCAAACCAACGCTGTTCCGTTTCGAACCGCGATTCTAGAGTCGAAAATCTGTTCAAAATTGCGAACTCAGAAAAATTCAACCAGCCACTCATGTCCAGATCACTTCCAGGGGGTGATGTGGTCACGTGCAATGTGGTCTGGATATCTACAGAGAAATGTATTTCATGCCGGTACTCATGCAGCAGTTCCATGAAGCTGCTGCTTCTGCTCGAACTGCTGCTCGGTCAGGAGACCCTCGTCTCTGAGTTCCCTCAACAGGTCCAGCTTTGCAGCGGCAAGCTTGGCCAGCCCCGCATCAGCCTCCGCCTTCTTCTGCAGCTTCTTGGCCTGAGGGTCCTCTAGGCCCACGTCCACACAGTGCTCCTCGACACCGCGGCCAGCGCGCGGGTACTTGGCGACCAGATCCTTATACTCGTGCATCCTCCGCCCGAGCATCTCCTCTGAGAGGTCATTCAAGTAGCCTGAGAAGCCCAAAGGCTTGGGGATCGGAGCACACAGGTTGCCACCTCGCTTCTCCACGATGGCCAGCTGAGTCTTCCAGACCATCTGGTCGTCGTCCATCACTGGGTGGTACAAGGAGAGCTCGCAATCTGAGATCACCTTCAAGATGCGGTGCATCTCCTCCTCGGAAACCCAGCCCTCCACGAACGAGAGGTATGCCCCGAAGCCCATGCAGGTGCCGACGGCCTGCCCGTGCAGCATGCCTGCTGGCAGCTCATAGCCAGGGCACCACGTGTGTCCATACGCGTGGGGTCGGCACTGATGGGTCTCCCAAAGGTTGCCATACTCAGATCGCACGTATCCCTCCATTGCCTTCCCGACGATAAGGTCGCAAACGTCTTGGAACTCGGGGTCATCGACGCTGTCGCCTTCGGTCCCGAACTTAGTCTGCACTGCCCGGACACCATGGCGCTCCAGAAGCTCGAACAGGGAGAGGTCCTTCATGACCGCCATCTTGATGATCTCTGCCACGCCATGGCGCAACCATCCGGGATGCAGAGTCTTCCAGAAGCCTCGATCTGTGATCGTCAGCACCGGTGGGTGGTAGGAGCCGTAAAGGTTCTTGTAGTCGTAGCCGTTGCAGCACACGCGAGGTGACGGGCCTGCATCGATCCCTGAGACGATGGACGTGCAAAGCATCACATACGGAGTGTTCCTGGAATACAGGGATGTAGCAAAGCCTGCGATGTCTGCGATCACTCCACCGCCCACGACCAGAAGAGGTTCATGGCGGCCAAGGGAATACTTCTTCATTGCTACCAGAATCCTCTCGACGTCCTCGATGCCCTTGTCGACTTCGTTGCCGCTGAAAACCAGCTTGGTGAGCTCGATGTTGTGGGCCGCGAAGTACTGGTCGATCTCCGCCCCGTAATGCTCGTCCACCTTGTCGTCGACCACGGCCACACACCGGCCAAGGGGCTTGTAGACATCGTAGAGCAAGTGATTGGAGGGGTCCAAAACCTTCCGGGCAATCTTGATGGTGGTGGTGATGGTGGTGCTCATCACAGCCTCGATAGTAGAAGCGTCCTTCGTGGCTAAGGTCTGGGCATCGCACTGCCTGTAGATCGAAGTGGGATACACAGCATGCGGATCTGCATCTTCCAGGTGGGCAGCGTTCTCCATGTACCTGGCATAAGCCTCTGCTGGAAGACGCTTACTCACTTCCTTCACAGCCTCCAGGTGTCGAGGGGACTTGCCCAGCCTCTCCTCAAATGCCCTGAGGTCCTGTGTGATGTCTGTCATGATGCACTCGGAAACATTGGCCATCAGGATCGCCAGCTGGCTGACGGGCAAGTTCCAGAAGTACTTCAACTGCTTGAGGGAGTGCAGCAAGTCCAAGTCATCCTTGAACGCGGAGCCAAACTCGTGCGAAAAGACTGGCAATCGGGACAGGGACACCAGCGCGTGGCGCACATCCTCGTCACAAAGAACATCCTGCAGCTGCTCCTCAGCGAGCTTCTCCGTCGAGACGATGTCCTTCATGGCCTTGAGCGCCGCCCGCATCGAGGTCGTGATCATCACGATATTGATCTGGTCAAGCTGGTAGTAATTAATCTCAGTTGTGGGCAGGACCTCAATCACATCACCACCACGGGCTGCGAGCTTCGTCTTGCGCGGCCGGCTTGTGCGTGGGGCCACGCATGCCCAGGCGCTCACTGCTGCCACGCCCAGTGCAGCTCCTCGCGCGCCTCCGCTGCCTCCGCTTGATGCGCTGGGGACTTTTGGGGCCAAGCCTGGCCGGTCAGTGCCGCGCAGTGCCGGGGCCCAAGAAGCGGAGTTGCTCGCGACGAAGGCTTCCATGTCCAAGAATGTCCCGGTTTGTAGGCGAAGATCCGGCTGCTGTTGGCAAAGCCTACTCCTAAGGCCTCCCGGGTTCTCTGTTGAGCAAAATGCTTTGCGGCCGTAGCAATTTTTGGCGTTCGACTCTCACAGCGAACCTGGGGGTTTTCAGGTTTGGGGTTTTGGGCTGTCGACTCTCACAACTTGGACTGGCGAGAATTGCTTTGAGGAGACTAAGCCGGTCAAGGACGCTAGATACCCTAGTAGCTTGGAAATGTCGCCTGCCCGCTCCAGTCCGAAAGCCGGGATCGGAACGTCTTAAAGATCCGCGACATTCCGGACTGCAGAAGCGCTGCTAAGCAAAGAACTCCAACAAAGATTCAGTTCCCGTGCTCCAGGTGGGCTTCTTTACTTCATTGATGTCATTGGTCGTGGGCGGGTGCTATATTTAGCTAGGGCCACAGGGGGTCAAATGAGGACTTCCAATCCGGAGCCGGGCCGCACGCTGTGCAAAACCTCTCGGTGCCAAAGTTGAAGGCGCCACAAAAACGACAGGTCCAGTCCGCGTTCACGTTGGCCCCGCAGTCTTTCTTGCCCGTCCGCCAGTCTGGCATAACTTGTTCTTTTGTCTGAGGTGGTCTTTCCGTCGAGCATGACAGGCAGTTCTTGCGCTTCTTGAAGTTCAGCGTCTTACAATTAGGACATTTCCAATCTCTAGGGTCATATGTCCCAGGCGCTGGCGGGCGATTCGTCATGAAAGCAGGACTGTGACATGACACTTGCTTGGGCCGAGAATTGCAAGCCAAACAATAACAAGCACAAAACGCCAAAGAACTGTGGCAACTGCAACTGCCCCGAGCTGCATCGTCCCTACCTGTTATGTCAGAAAACATCAGCCGCGTTCCTGCAAACACGCGCACACTTTCTTGCACACCGCAGTCGACAGCCTTTGGACAGCCAGAGGGACCCTGAAGGCTTCAGGCTGCACATGAGCGGGCGCGGCCAGGCTTCTGCCAATCCCACGCACCTCAGGTTGTTCAGGCATTGTCCGAGCCACTCCGGTTTGCTTTTTGCATTTGTGGCAAACGCTGAAGGCTGCTACTCTCTTAGAAGCTGAACCCACTCCTGGGACAGACCAGACGCAGCTACTGCAACTGTTGCAACGACACGTGTTGCATGGATGGAGGAGGAGATGGAGGGATGGACGGAGGGATGGAGGGATGGAGGGATGGATGGATGGATGGGTGGGTGGGTGGATGGATTCATGGATGCATGCATGCATGCATGCATTCATCATGTATGTATACATACATACTCACACACACACACACATACCTACCTACCT